AGTAGTAGTAGTAGTAGTAGTAGTAGTAGTAGTAGTGGTAGTCGTAGTAGTAGTAGTAGTAGTAGTAGCAGCAGCAGCAGCAGCAGCAGTAGTAGTAGTAGTAGTAGTAGTCCTCGCCGTAGTCTTCGGAGCAGTATGGCAGCAGTCGTGGTGTAGTCGTAGTCGGAGTTGCAGTACTTGTAGTAGCATCAGTAGTATCAGGAGCAGTGTCGTCGTAGCCGTAGTCGCAGTGGAATTCGTAGTCGTAGCAGGGCCACCCGCCAGGTATAGACAACCGAGCTCTCGCCACTTATGGCTGGTATTTAAATATGATACATGGGAATGCAACTCCATTGTAGCTGGCACGTGTTGCATATGGACGGAAGCGCTGAGACCGTTCCGAGAAGCCTCGGGCATAATCATGGTTCTGAAAGAATATTCAGGAGAGACCTGCTGGACTCCTGCTGACCGTTGGCCTGAGAGTCGGGGGCATTGCCTTGCTGACGCACGCATCGTGCAGTTAGCAATGGACAGTGGATGCAAGAATTCCATAGCACCAGCCAGGGTGCGTCTGCAGTGTTTTCTTGGGTGCCGGGGAGAAGAAGTTGCTGCGCAGAGGGAGAGGCTTCCCGACGCAGACAGTGAGCGAGGCGTCGGTCCCGACGCCCTGCGGAAAAGCTTGTTGGCACTAATTCGCGGGGCAAGAAACTGCCTGCCGCCGCGCGGGGCGCGGGGGGCGAGCGTCCTCCCGCGCCAGACGCGCCCGGACGCGCGCCCCGCAGCCGCAGTCGCCGCGTCCGGCAGAGAGCGGCCAAATGCGCTGACTTATCCGCTGAGCGCGGCGCCGTGCGTGATCTTGAGTTGGCCATCGGCACTGCGAGCCAGCGCGCGATCGTGCCGGGCGCGGGCCCTTGCCGCGAGGTGGAGGCCTTGCGGCAGGGGATCGCGCGGCGCGGAATGGGCAATTTGTCAGATTCTGCCAGCCTTGCCGCCGTTTTGGGTAGCTGCCTGAAGACGTGGCCCAGCGCGATGAGCGGCTTCCGCTGTTGGGCAACATTTGCGACAACAGTGCTCGGCTGTGACCCGGAAGCAATCGCCCCGCCCGCGGGGCGCGCTTTTTCGCTGCAAGGGGGCGTTCGACGCTGATCTCTCGCGCGCCAGGTTGGCGCGCGTCGCGCGACGCATATCGGTCGACGCTTTTGCAGGCGCTGCAGTCGAGCGCGCTGCTCGAGCAGCGCAGGCGCGCAATCTTTGGCGAGTTCGCCCAATATTGTTCATTCTCGAGGCGCTCCTCGCGGGACTGCTGAAGCATCTTGCCCGCCAGCCCCCAGGGCGCGCGCTGCGAATGCTTTTCCTGGCGGCGCATATACTCTTGTTGCGCCTGCCTGCTGAAGCTCTTCCGAATTGCGTCGCTCGCGCAAGCGGTCCACCGAAGGCGGGCGAGTCGAAGTCCTGCCTGCGATTTGATGACTATTCGATTTTGCTTACTCTGCACTGGCGCAAAAGTCGCGCTTCGCCGATCGCGACGTCGCGGACCTGTTGGCGCGCGCGCTGCAAAGCAACGTGCCCCGCGCACGCGTCGGGCAAGTTTTGCGCCGAGATCGAGTCTGGGCCGCCTTTCGCGCGCCTCCGCCCCGACGCGGTCTTGGCGGCATTGCGCGCAGCCCCGCAAGAGCTCGGGGCGCCTCGGCATCAGGCGCCTCGCATTCGCGATCCTCGCAGGGGTCACGCGCAGGGCGTGACTGTCCGAGGTTCGCGGCCGGCAGACATCCACCGAGCTGGGGGCTGGCGTTCTGCGGCTGTCTTGTCTCATTTAGATGGGGGCGAACTGGGGGCGGGCGCCGTCAGGGAAGCGCGCGGCGACCTGTCGTCCAGCGACGATCATGAGTGCTGCGTGAGAGGCATTTTCGGACACCCCGCGCGAGTGCGGCGCTGGGCGTTCTCTCGCGCGCAGGCGCAGCAAGCGCCTCGAGCGTCGCTGCGCCCGCGCGCTCCCGCGGGGCGCGGCGGCGCGAGTAACGCGTCGCGCGCCCGCCCCGCGGGCGCGGGCCTACCCAAGGAGCAGCGCGCCCCGCGCTCTCCCCAACCCGAGCTGTCTAGGGTAGCGTCTTCTGTGGGCGAGAACACTACGCAGTTCTGTTCGTTGTCACAAAACGCGCACCTAGCAGCGTTCCCCCCCCCGCCGCGGGCGCCGCGAATCGTCGCCGGGCCCGGGGGGGGGGCGAGCGGGCCGGCTGGGTGAGATGTCGGGAAAGGGGGGGGCGTGCGCTCAGGTCCTTGTTCTTCGCGTTCTGCCCCCCCCCCCCCGGGACTTGCCCCCCCCGCGGCGGGGGGGGGTGAACGTGCGCCCGCGCACGACGCGCGGCGCCGTGGGCGCGCAACGGCCAAACGCGAGGCCTGCGCGCTCCGCGCGCGCGTCGGCGCGCCGCCGTAGCGGCGTTGTCCTCTCACCTCGCCCTTCGCCACTCCTGTGGTTGGGTCGGGTTGCGGGGCGTCGCCGCGCCCGCGCGCCCCCGTAGGGCGCCGCGACGCAAGTGAGGCGTCGCGCGCCCGCCCCGCGGGCGCGGGCCTGCCCTATGAGCAGCGCGCCCCGCGCTCTCCCCAACCCGAGCTGTCTAGGGCATCGTCTGTTGTGTTCAGGAGAGACCCCCAGGAAGCCTGCGGACCGTTGGCTTGCGAGTCGGGGGCGTTGCCGTGCTGGCGCGCGCGTCGCGCAGTTCGCAGTGGATGCCAGACTTCGACAACACCGCCCAGGGTGCGTCTTCAGCGATTTTTTTTAGGTGCCGGGGAGAAGACTGATATGCAGAGGGAGGGGCGTAGACAATTCCCGTCAATCTCGGACAGCACAGCAGCAACATGGAAGCGAATGTCCCGTGCTCTTCACAGCCTGGGGGGCGCGTGAACGGGGCTGACCGTCGCCGCGCCATGTCCTGGGGCCGTTTCGGGGCCGTCTTGGGGCCTTCCTTCCCAGGCAGTTGCGCGCCCATTTCGCGCCGCCTTGTGCCTCGCGCGGGCGCTCCGGTGGCGCTCTGGCCGTATTGGGGCTTTCTTGGGCCGTATTGAGCCCCTTTGGGGGACGGGCCGGCCAGTTTCGTGTCTCTTGGGGCCGTCATGGGGCCGACGCATGTATCATCGCGTCTTGAGGAGCTCTCATGGAGCTCATTTGGGCCGTCTTGGGGTTGTTTGCGCCTCCTGTGGGGTCGTCAGCGGGGGGCGTTTTGGGGCACTCGTGGGATGTATTGGGGAAGCGTTGGCCGTTTGGGGGCTCTCCTTGGCCGTTTTGGGGTTTTGGCCGTATGGAGGGTGTCTGGGAGACGTCGTGGGGCCATATTGGCGCCGTCTTGGGCCGTCGAAGGGGTTTCAAGGGCTGTTCCGGTCTCTACGATAGCCTTCGTTGGCTGTCTTGTGGGCCATTTGGGCCATCGCGGGGTCCTTTCTAGACGTCTTGAGGCCTCTTGGGCAGTCGCGGGGCCATCAAGGAGGCATCTAGGGCCGTTTTGGGCCCGAGAACGCGAGAATGCAAGAACCCTTCAAACACGTAAGGCGAGGAAATCAAGTGTGTGGTTTCTTCGGTCCTTGCTGGGGGTCTTCTGGGTTTGTTTGAGCCCGCCCAGGAACATACTGAGCCGTCTTGAGTTTGGGCCACCTTGGGCCGCTTTAGAGGCATACCGGGTTATTTTAGAGCGTGGATTCGACATTTCTTTACTAGCGTTCGTGGGTGGCCCCCGGAGCCGCGCTCCATAGGTCCCAACCATCCTGTGGTGTTGGGTCCTCGTTTTGAGGAGACAGCGACCCGCGTTCCTCCTTCCTCCTTCCTCCTTTCCTCGTCCCTTTCATCCCTCGTCCCATCCTTGCTTCCGCCCTGCATGTGCCCTCATCTCATCACCATTTTGCGCACTCGCACCCGACTCTGCATACCCGTCTCACGTTTCGTGGCCCCGAAGGGAGCTCCACCGAAGGCCCCAGCGGCATGGTCAGCATGGCGTACACGCACCCGATCCGGCGTACCCCTCAGACGTGCCGTGGCCCCCAAGGGAACTCCACCGACTGCCCCCAGCAGCAGGGTCCGCATGGCGTACCAGCGCCCGCTTTAGCATACCCGTAACACGCTTCGTGGCCCCATGCGGAGCCAAACCGAAGGCCCCAGCGGCAGGGTCCGCATGGCTTACACGCGACTCGGCAGACTCTTCTCACTTGCCGTGGCCCCGAAAAGGGCTCCACTGAAGGCCTCAACGGCAGGGCCTGCATAGCGTACCCACCCGCACCCTATCCGTTACACCCCTGACACGCTCGCGGCCCCGAAGGGGGCTCCACTGAAGGCCCCTGCGGCAGGGTCCACTTGGCGCACCCCCATCTGATTCGGCTCACCCCTCACACGTGCCGTGGCCTCGCAGGGAACTCCATCCGAGGTTCCAGTGGCAGGGTCCGCATGGCGCACCCGCCCCCCTGCAGGCACACCCCATCGCTCCTCCCCTATGTTTTTTCTCACTTACCTCGCGGCACTCGCAGCTTCACATGGTTGGGCCCTTCGCCAGGATGATTTTCTTGCACGGGATCGTGGCCTCGGGACGGGGGGGCACGCAACACTGTGCGAGTAGAGGATGGTATTCCCAGAAGACTGAAGAAACACTAGTGGACAACCTTTGGCATCCCATATCATGCCTAAACGTGCCAGGGGGCACTGTGGCAGATCGCAAATTCATTTGAATTCCGAATTGCATTTCCCACGGGGCAGCGCGAGACACCCCACGGCTACCATGGGACAACCGTTCGACTACCATGGGAAAACTTATTAATCAACAATGGCACAGCACCAGAGCAACCACAGGACGACCATGGGCCAACCACGAGACAACTGACGGGGTAATTTCAGAACCATTACGGGACAACCGCTGGCCAACCCACGGGACAACCATTGGACAACCAGGGGACAACCGACGGGACAACCCCAGGACAATTGCAGGACAATCGCGGGACATCACACGTGATAATCGCGACGCGATTGGAGGGCAGTTTTCGAGACAATCACGGGACAACGGCAGGTCGACCCCACGGGCCAACGCGTGAATGGGCAGAATCAAATTTTCGCCCTCGGACAGCCCAACCTCCGACCCACCGCAGTCATCGGGCCTTTTGCGCCACACGCAGCAACGTTTCAAGGCCAGGCCTGGCAACAGTTGCAATGCTCGGGGAGCCAGCGTCGTGGACTTCGCAACGGCAAGCCGCGGATGATTGTTCTTGTCGAGCTTGAGGGATTGGCGACAACCTACGTAGGCTTGCCTGGAGCGGCGGATGGAGATGATAGGGTCGGGCAGGGGGGATGGTTAAGCTGTGCTACGTACAGTAGCATGTTCGGCGCTTTCTTCTCTCAAGGCACACCGCAAAGCGCGGATCAATTCATAGCGCGCGCAGTTTGTGGTTTCAACTTTGCGCGCTGAAGGGTGTAGTTCCCAGTGCTGCGCGCACGCGATCACGTTTCATCTCGAAGGCTTCAGAGCCTCGGAAGCCGTGCGCTGCTGTCCCTTTTGGTTGAAGGGCCGTGGCAAGAATACCCGAGCATCCAACATAATTGAAGTCCAGTGCGCTAGTGTGCTGCTGGCCGTTCCCATATGTTTCAGTGTAGTTGGATGGCTTCTGCCACGTTGCTTCTGAGGAGGCAAGCAAGCGCACTCACATAAGGTCTGGTTGAGGATGCTTCACCTACCCTCATTCAGAGGGGCTCGATATTTGGTGACCCTCCGTGTTTGCGATCGACGCTTCTATCGCCGTTCCAAGTTTTATAGATAGAGGTGTTCTGTTGATAGCCATGCTGCCCATCGCACGCATGACTTTGCCTCTGACAACCCGCACATGAAGGACGAACATGCAGGACGGGGAGAGAGGTGGAGGATAGGTCCTTGAGCGTTTCAAAAGGTGCCTTGTCGAGAAGAGAGTTTGATCTCTCGCCCTTGGCGGAAGCATGCGGAAGCTGCAAGGATGCCAGTGGAACAAACATGGCGGATTCGCCCGCCAGAGCGGTCGGCAGAACGGCGGAAACTAGCGGAAATCAAGTCCCTTTCCCCAGCTTCATGAGCGGTCAGTATCGATGTCACCCGGGTGTCCAGAGTGTGTTGGCCAGGTGAGTGTGGGCGAGGGCGAGGTGGAGGATGAACAGGAATCGGCAGCGGGCCAGCGGAGCGCGTTCGGCGCCCTACCTGGTCTTAATTTCTGTCCTCAACTTGGTGAAGCATCACATGGTGCCTCTCGCCACTGAATCGAATTATGCCTTCGCGTGTGCTTTGGGACAGTCAGCACCTATCATGCTAATTTACCGCAGCTTAGACGGAGGCTCTCCTCTTTTCCCCATCTCATAGCTTGTCTTTAGAAAATATATTGCCATAGCCAGGGTTGTACGGAGCGGTCAGCGGGAGGGATGCCTGGGGTTCGCCAGAGGGTTGCAGGGTCCCGTCCGATTTAGTAAGCTGGAGACCCATGCCAAGAAACACCCAGCTTGCCTCCAGGGTGCCCTGGGTTTCTTGGGCTTCGATGGTTTTATGATGGAGAGCGCGACGTTCCCACACCAAACATCAGTGGACGTCCTGGGGTATCAGGGTTGGGCGTCCTGTGGAAGGTCTGTGGTGGTCGAGCCCCTACTGTAGTCCTGCCAATGCCCGACTGGGGGCTCCTGGCTCCTGTGAGTGTTCGGGCCCCCAGGGGTGTCGTCCCTCGGCTGCGCCGCGTCGAGGGCCAAGCTGCCCCGAGACGCACGTGCGGAAAGGCGAGCACGTGCCGAGCTTACAGAGTGTCGCGCGCGTGCTGCCCACGCTGTGCGGAACGTGTCGGGCCGGAGTTCGTTCGTGCGGCGCGCGCTTGGGGCGGGAGGGAGGAGGGGGAGGAGGAGGATCAGTAGGAGGAGGAGGAGGAGGAGGAGGAGGAGGCGGAGGAGGAGGGAGAGGAGGAGTTTTAAACCCGCGTGCACAGGCGTGCGCAAGAGTGCCCCAGGTCTCGGCACCCAGGCCGCGCACGCTGAACGCGCGCCCGTGGCTGGGTGGGCCTGCGGCCTCAGTACGCGCCCTCTCTCTGTCGGCAGGCGAGGATCAGCCTCCGCTGGCAGTCTTAGGGCTGCTGCCAGGGCTCGTCCTCCTCCTCGCTGGCTGCCAGGCAGAGCTCGGAGTACGTGTAGCAAGGCGGCGATCCCTTGGTGCACTGCAGGAACCACACCATCTCGTCGCCGACGACGTAGCTATCGTCGAACTCATACTCTTCGCCTTCTGGGCCCAAGCCATGCGCGCTGCCGTCCTCGTCGACGGAGATCTCGGCCAAGCACACGAATCCGTCGTGGAAGTGGCAGTCAGGGGCCGACCTCCCTGGAGCGGAAAACACGTGCCATCCTCGATTCTCAATCACAGCGAGGGCGACTAGGCCGCGGGCCAGCACGAGGATGAGAACTGCCACACGTGTGAATCTGGACGTCCCTGCGTCCGCTACTTGCTGCTGCTCCTGCATCAGCTCGGGGTTCTGCTGCTTCTTCGCACGCCTCTGCGTGCGCCGGCTGGGGGTTGTTTGTGCGGCCCCCCACCGCGCCTGGTACTCCTGCACGTCGCTGGTGCTCTGCTTCGTCGCGTAGGTGCGCAGGTGACTGCCCTGGTTCCCCACGGTGCTCTGCTGGTTGCCGACGGCCCCCTGCATGTGCTTGCCCGCGGAGCCGTCCTTGCCACCCTTCGTGCTCACCTCTTCCGCGTTGGCGCCCAGCGTCCCGCCCTGGTCGTCGAACTCGCTGCCGACGCCCTCCATCGCGGTGCCGTTGCGCTCCTCCGTCTTCACTATGTTCAGGTGCCTGCCCTGGTTCTGCTTGGTGCTCTTCTGGTCCCCGTACGCCCCCTGAGCGTCGCCGTTGCTCTGCCCGTGCTCTGCGGTGTTCTGCTGGCCCTCCCCGACGCCGACCTCGAGCTCCTCCGTCTGCACGCCGCTGCCCGAAGCCAGGCGCGGGAAGGCGGGGACCTCCGCGAACGGGGCGCGCCCCTCAGCCCTGCGCGCTGGGGAGAGGGTTCCCGCCGCCGCACCACGGCGCTCCTGCAGCTCCGCCAGGGCCTGCTCGAGCTGCGAGATCTTCTGGCTCTGCTCGTGCGACCTGTGGGAGAGCTGCGCTGCCTCGTCCTCCGTCATCTGGACCTTCAGCTCCAGCGCGCGCTGCTCCTCAGACGTGTCCGCCAGGAGCTTCTGGTAGCGCTGGTCCGCCGCCTGTAGCTCGAGGACCTTCTCGGCTAGGAGCGCCGTCGTGTTTGCTTTCTCTTCAAGCTTGCCTTGACTCGCCTCGTCCTGCCCCGACCCGATGGTGCCAGGGTGGGCGTCCAGGGCCTCCATTACCTCCTGTAACAAGTCCCTGTCGGGATGGGCTGCCCAGCGCCTGCCGCCTCGCATTGCCACCCACCGCCGCGCCAGCTCTGGCTGAGCCTTGGCCAGGGCTCGGCGCACCTCCTCGGAAGTGGCCTTGCGCCCTAGGCCCAGCTTCTCTCCAGCGCCCCTGAGGCCCTGCTCGAACCCGTCGAGGACGCTGGCATCGGGGCTGTCGGAGGCCAGCAGCTGGATCAGCCGCGCGGCCTCTTTCACTGTTCTGCAGTGCGCCACGCTGTGGCCATGCCGCACCGCGACGCCACGAGCGCTGGAGCGACCCATGGCGGAGTCCCGAGGGCGCGGGCGCCTCGGAGTGCCGTACAGAGTGAAAGAACCGGGGAAGCTGACCCCGCCCACTCGAGCCCAAATGGCTACGGGGAGGGAGAGGAGGAGGATGGGGAGGAGGAGGGGGAGAAGGGGGAGGGGGAGGGGGAGGGGGAGGAGAGACAAGCTAGGTGCGCTCGCGTCATATCTGACGTCCTAACCCTCCCTCCCATCCTTTACCATGGCGTAGATCTCTCCTCTATTCGCACAGTCGGATGTTGTCGCAGAGCATAGCATTACATGGCATAACGTGGTGTTGAAGATCAACACGTATCCTGACATAGCATGGCGTGGCGACGCCCCAAAGGGGGGGGGCTTCTGCGGTCCAAAAATATCAACGAATCGGCACCGCATGTGTCATCACGTCCGATGGTTGTTTCGGTGGGTATTTTCTAATTTTTGGGGCCGATTTGGAAGGACCGAATACCATGTCGTGGCATCGCGCTGGAAATGATGACGCCAGCGCTGCAGCGGGAGCACGATTCGGAACGGGCGGAAGCGCGGACATGAGGCCAGCGTTGCAGCGGGAGCACGATTCGGAGGACGCGCAGCCTGACATAGCATGGCGTGGCGATGCCCCAAAGTGGGGGGGGGGGCTTCTGCGACCCCAGAAATCAACGAATCGACACCGAATGTGTAATCACTTCCGATGTTTTTTTTGTGGGGAGGGGGGGGCATGTTCTAGATTTTGGTGCCGATTTGGAAGGACCGAAAACCATGCAGTGGCATGGCATTGGAAATAACGACGCCAGCGCTTCAGCAGGAGCACGATTCGGAATGAGCGGAAGCGTAGACATGACGCCAGCGCTGCAGCTGGAACACGATTCGGAATGAGCGGACGACCGAAAATGAGGCCAGCGCCTCAGCGAGAGCAGCATGTTGAGATAATAACAACAACAGCAACAACAACAGCAACAGCAACAGCAACAGCAACAACAACACTCATTTTAAGACTGGTCGCTCCTATTTGCTCACGTGCCAATCGATACGTATATTTCAAACCCTCGGTACCCGCCCTCGTCGTCTTCGATCGTACCCCCTTGGGGGTATATCTTCCTTCAGGAGGGGAAAAAACACACAGACACAATTAATCGTCGATCCCAAGGCAAATATGCGAAAATATGGGAAGTGGGGGGGAAGACAGAAACCCAGAAGATATAGGAAACTATGGTGAATATTTTTATTTGTGTGTATTTATTTGTGTGTTCTGGGGCCCCTTCATTCCTTATCTGCCACGTGTATTTAATGCAGCCCCTTATACAAGAGAAGGGAAGACGGGTGAAAGGGGGACCGAGAAGAATGGAGCACCAGACAAATTAGCAGGAGAGGGGCAAGGAGCAGAAAACAAGTGGTATAACCAAACGGGCAGATCTAGTGGGCAGACCCATAGCGGGCAGGTCGAGAAGGCGGGCCCAAGCGACGAAGTCTCGAGCGATGACGCGATTTCCAATTAAATCGTGAGAGTAGCCAGCGTGGGCCACGAAGGACATAACATCTGAGGCCACAGAGAAACAGCGACGGGGCCGCTGAGGGCAGCAGCAGGGCTACGAAGGGCAGCGAGGGGGCCACACAGGGCGACACCGGGGCCACGAAGGGTA